TATACATAATGTATGTAATAATAATAATAACAATAATAATAATAATTAATAATAAAAACTAAAAAAAAAAAGGAAAATAGAAAATAAAATGTTTATAAATATACATATATGTATTTATTTAAATCAAATATTATTATATATCGTTATTTTGTAAAAAAATAAAAAAAAAAATAAAAAAACACCATCTCATTGTTATACAAACATTGGAAATAGCTACATATCTATAGTCTAAATTATTCGATGTGTGTTGTCAATTCTAATAACAGTCTAAAACAAAAAGCAATTTTATTTTATTTGTTTTTTTTTATTTTATTTTTTTTATTTTATTATTGCCACAATTCTACATAATGGCAATTGCCAAATTTAACAATGATATTTATACAATTCCTAAAAATATGTTTAACTGTGGCAATTACCATTATTCATCATTTATTTTATTATTTTATTATTTTTTCACGTAGACATTACTTTTTTTTTTTCCAAAATTTTTTTTTGTTCTATTTTTAATTTTTTTTTATTTTTTCATTTTTTAAAATTTTTTTTTTTTCAAATGGACAAAATCATATTTTCGATTATTTAATTAAATAAATTTCAATTTTCATTATATTGACAGTTTGCATGTGTTCACATTATTTTATTTTATTGCTATTATATATATTTACCCAACCACCACCAATATATTATAAATTTATTGTTATTTTATATACCCTTCCACCCACACAAACACCACACACATTTATAATAAATTAAAAAATACCTTAATATATTGGTCACCCATGTGTTATGATGTTTCACGGTGAAACTGTTAAAAAAAATAAATAAATAAATATAATTAAAAATATAAAAACAATATATATTTTATTTTATTTTTTAAATATTTTGTTAACTTTTGTAAGATGTTATTGTTTTTTTTTTTTTTTAAAAAAAATTCAATTAAATAATATTTTTTATATTTTATTTACTTGTATAATTTTTTTTTTTTTTGTATATTTGTAATGTATAAACATACACCACCACACCATCTTTTTAAATTTAAATAATTTAATTTATTTGTACATTATAACGAATTCTTAAAAAAAAAATAAAAAAAATAAAAATACGAATTTTATTTATTTTACATATAGTTAATTATTATATATTAATCTTATATTTCTCTTTCACATTTTATAGTTTTTTTTTTTTTTTTAAATTTTCACTTTTCATTTTCAATTATTTATTTTAAATATAATTATATGTAATCAAAACAAAAAAGATGGGATCAACAACAAATCCACACACTTTCCAAGATGAATTAAATAATAATAATAATAATAACCATAATAATGTTTTTAAATACAACCCATTGTTTGACTTGGAATCAAACAAGGAGAATAATTTAAATCAAGCAAATTATTTTAATAACAATATCAATAACAATAATAATAATAATAAAGATAAAAAAATCACTTTACCATCTACCACTTTAAATATTAGTGGCAGTTTTTCAATTGGTTTAAATAAAAAGCCACTATTATCACCAAGATTGTTATCTCCAAGAGTTCTATCACCAAGAAGTATTGGTAATAGTACTGAAAATATTTTTCAACCACCACCACAACAACAACACACCTCTTCTTTATTAGAAGATACAATTTCAAATTTAAATAACTCTTCTTCACATAATAACAACGGTGAAGAAGTTGTTCCACACAAAAAACATAGAAATTCACAAATTTTGTCAAAAAATTTTATTTCCCTATCACTAGAGACCGACTCACCAAAACACTCAAGATCAACTACTGATCTAAACACATTCTTTCATGAAAGTGATCCAGATCAATATATATACAATACAAGATCTAAAACTATCTGTGGAGGTGATCTACATAGTTTAGTATTGGATTTTGGTAATAATAACAACAATAATAATAATAACAATAATATTTTTACAAAATTCCAAACCAATAATAATAATAAAAATAATAATAATATAGAGAATTTAGAAAATTTAAATAATAATGTTAATAAACCGACAGTTGTTCATTCTCATTCATTAAATTTTATACCAAATACTCATGTAAATAATATGTCAGCTTTACCATCAGTTTTATCATCATCAGCACCCTCTTTAATGTCATTGTTGGAATCTTCATCAAATAATAATAGTGATACCAGTTTAAATGAAGAAGATGTTACAGTTAATAATATTGACCAACATATTTCATTTTGTATTGATTCCCCATTAAAAGACTCAATGTGCCAAGATGAAGACGATGACGATAGTACTCCACCAACACCAATTCAAAGACAACCCTATAGATCTGCTTCAGCAATTCTAAGTCCACCATTGTTAGTTAGCTCATCCGGCTTGTTTAGTCGTCAAAACAGTGCTTTAAATAATGATCAAGTCTTTGCATCATCACCCGAGTTATCCCCAATGGCTCCAACTCCTGTTCAAAACATAAATAATAATCCACATAATCAAAGTCATACTGAAGATGACTCACCAAATACCAGTTTAGATAATTTTGGTTCATCATCTCCATATAAAACACCAAGCAAACTTTCATCATCATCATCATTTTTCATCCCACAATCAAATTCATCATCATCTCCATCTGCTGGTAGCAAACGTTCTAGAACTTGCTTAGATTTTACAAGATATACATCAAATTCAAATTTTGAAGAGGAACAACAACAACAACATCAACACCAACACCAACAATTATCATCATCACCAACAAATCCCTCATTATCACAAACTACAGTCTCACCAACTATTTCACCAAGGATCATTTCACCAACTACTACCACCAGTACATTAAGTTCAATTCAGCAAAATTTAAAACAAAATTTAAATGTTCCATCTTATTTAAATCATTTACAACGTTCAAACTCTATTAGCAGCTCAAGACCTCCTCGTCCACTTTCAATGTCAATGTCTGTTGCCTCCTTTAGAGCTCCTGATATTGCTTCCGCTGTTGCAGCCAATGGCAGTGCTTCCTCTGCCACTATCACAAATAAACCACTTCCATTTGATAATATTCCAATGAATAATAGCAATGAAAGTTCAACAAATGTATATAAAAATGAAACTCAACAAAAAATTATTAAATTTATCGAAGAGCAAAATAAACGTTCTCAACAACAACAAAACCAAACCTCAGATAGCAGCATCAAGAATAAGGATAACACCGAAGATGAAAACAATATGATTGAAGAGGATAATCTTGTAGATTTCGAGCACGAACAAAATAAACCAAAATTATTAGCTTGCAAACAAACTCAAGGTTATAATAGTGTTTTATGTGAAACCGTTTATGAATTATTAAACTCTAAAAATACAGACGCTTTGGTTACCATTATTGATTGTAGATACGAATATGAATACCTTGGTGGTCATATTAAAAGTGCTATCAATATTCCACCCATTGGTTCCGAACAAAAGGTTATTGACACATTCTTTACCAACCCAACTCCAAAAGATAAACAACACATCATCATTTTCCATTGCGAATTTTCTTCAAAAAGAGCTCCAGATTGGTAAGTTGTGTATTATATAATTTAATTTATACATATTATTAA